GTCTCAAAAATGACCAAAAAACTAAAATAAAATTACCAGAGTTAGCCCAGGAAGAAATCAAAATTCAAAGTCAGGTTTCCACTGACTGCATCACTTTCAGACAAATTAATAAGGTCAAAATCCCCATCAGGTCAAACCATCTTGGTCAGAGATCATCGGTCCCACATCACATTTGAAAGTATGTCAACAGCAGTGCACAAAGACATGTTTCACTAAGGCCGGGGATGTGGCTCGATGGCCATGTCCTTGCCTCACCTGAGGACATGCCAATTAAGTTATACTCAGCTCTCCATGGATAGCACTTGTGGAAAAGCAAACCAAAGTTTCAAAACGAGGGGCTGGAGAGACAGCTCAGCAGTTAACGAGCACTGGCTGTTCTTGCAGAGGACCCAGGGTCAGTTCCCAGCACCCACATGGTGACTAACAACTGTAACTCCAGTTCCAGGGGATCCGACACCCTCTTCTGTCCCCTGCAGGCACCGCACACATACATTCATGAAGGCAAAACATTCATACATATAGAATATAACTAAACTTTTTTAAAGTTCCAAAATGACCAAATAATATTTTTTTTTTTTTTTGGTATTTTTGAGACAGGGTCTCCCTGTAGCCCTGGCTGGCCTAGAGCTCACTATGTAGACCAGGCTGCCCTTGAACTCACAGAGATTCAGCTGCCTCTGCTGCCCAAGTGCTGGGACTACATGAGTGCCCACTATGCCCAGCCCCAAACAGTAAATTTTAACAATTACCCCCCCTCACTGTCATTAGGGTTCCTTGGAATCCTTCCCTTGAATATAACACCATCAACACAACAGGCTGTGTGGTTCTCAGGGCTGTACAGAATGAAAAAGCCAATCTCCAAAGATCACACGTTGTACAACTTCATTATGTGACATCCTTGAAATCACAAAATTATAGTGCTGGACAGCTGATTAAGGCTGCCACGGTGGGGGCAGGGGGTATGGTCATGAAGACTGATGCCAGGGAGGTTTGTAGTGATGGAGCACAGAGCAGTTAGTTATCTTAAAGTAGTGAGAGTCACAAAGCCACACAAACTAGAACCCCACACACTCACATCCACGAGTACAGGTAAAAGTACTGAAATCCTGGAGCTGAGGTATAGGTCAGTGGTGACCGCACCAGGGTTAGTCAGTCCCTAGTGGGGGGGTGAAATCTAAATAGCCCAGTGGTCTGTACCAATGTCACTTTCCCCATATTGAAAATACCCTATAGTTATGCAAGATGGCCACATCAGGAAAGGTGGGGTGAAGGCTGCCAGGGACCTCCCTGTTAATTTCTTCACCACTTCCTGTGAATCTATAATTATTTCAAAACAAAAAATTATTTTAAAACTTGGACTAGGGGCTGGAGGGATGGCTCAGCGGTTAAGAACACTGACTGTTCTGGCAGAAGACCGAGGTTTGAATCCCAGCACCCACATGGCAGCTAACAACTGTCTGTAACTCCAGTCCCAGGGGATCTGACAGCCTCTTCTGTCCTCTGTGGGCACTGCATGACACGGGTGCACTTACCTATATGCAGGCAATACATGCACACACATAAAATAAAAATAATAAAATTAAAAAAAAAACTTGGACTAAAAAAGACTAGAATATTTCTTATATTTATCAATCTGGGGTAGAAGGCACATGTCATAGGAAAATCTGTGGGAGGCAGTTAAGTTCCAGGGTTCAAGCCCAGGTCTCATAAGGCTTGGCAGCAAACACCCCCATCTGAGTCATGCTGCCGACCCAAGAACTAGAATTTTTACATGACAACTTAAAAAGAGAGAAATGGGCTGCAGAGACGGCTCAGCAGTTAAGTGCACCTGCTGGTCTTACAAATGATCCAGGTTTGGTTCCCAGCACCCACCAACCATGCTGGGCATAACTCCAGCTCCAGGGGATCTGAAACCCCCTTCTGGCTTCCTGAAGAGGTGTGCAGACAGTGAAGCAGGCGACAGACACAAATACATTGAAAAAATAAAATTTTTAAAGGAGAGAGAAACAGAGGCAGGTTCTTCCTCCTACACGCTGAACTCCCAGGAGCAAATTCACAGGACCTGGCTGAAGTTGATCAGGAGGAATCAGGTTAATTTTATGAGACTAAATCCGTCTCTTACCTGAGCTGCAAAGCTACAGATCTAAGTATGACACAGATACCGTTTCAATCGGGAGCATGCTGGTAGCTGCCTGGGCTTAAGAGGGTGAACTAGTCACCCAAGTGCAAAGTGAGCCTCTCGGCACACACATCCCTCCTTCCCCCTCCCTCAAGCACTGGGCTTACAGGGTAAAGGGTGCTGCTGAGGCAGAGCAGAAAAAGACTTCGCTGACACCAGCTCACAAGCGACCCTTGACACTGAGGTTCAGTCCCCAGTGGATTCCAGTCATGGAGCTGGTAGCAGAGCTGGGTCCACCACCTTGGCAGCTAGCGTGGGGCCCTCTCTCCACTGAGCCTGAATTCTGCAACACTCACTTCTCATCACCAGAGAACAGTAAGCACAAACTCCACTAGGCAGTGAACCGGAAGGCAGTGACCCTCTCCCATGGTACAGGATCAAGTTCACATCAGCTCTGATCCCCAGCTCCTTACCAAGGGCTTCTGTGGCCTGCTTGGAGCTGACAAGTCACAAGGCATGTGTTGTGTGTCAGATGCTTTGAGGGGCCAAACACACAGGGCCCTTCCAGTACAGGGGATACACACACCAAAGCAAAGGACAACACCACAACTGCTCCCTAGAAGAGGGTCACGGCAGGACCTGACGGACGGAGAGGGAAGATGCTTCCAAGAGAGAGGGCAGAGTTACACAGAGACCTGGCTCCCAGAGAGGCCCAGATGCCCCCTCTTCCAATAACTCCTCTGGGATGGTCTTGTGCACTGTCTACACCTTGAGGGCTCACATTACCACTGGTACAACCGAGGTACCTGGTGCAGCCAAACATCCTCCAAGACACAAGACAGTCCCCCCAATGTCATGTCGATCATCCCCCAAGATCAGCTGTGCCAAGGTCGGGAAGGCTTATCTTCTGATCAGTCAGTATTTACCAAGCTCTCACCATGTGGCCCCTCTGGTCAAATGCAGGACACACATCTAACAAGTAGTGACCGGTGGTGTGAGAAGATGGCTTTCGCTCGCAATATCCTCCTTAAGTGGTACCCTCTCAGAAAACAGGATGGGGCCATCAAGATGACTCAGTGCTTGCTGCCAAGCCTGAGGAACCCACACGGTGGAAGTAGAGTTCTAACAAGAGGTGTCCTCTGAGAGACAGACAGACAGACACACATTCTCCACAGCCACCCACAGCTGCTAACCACTTCATCCCACTGCACAAAATGCAAGACTCTGAATGCTGCTGTCTGGAAATTTTGGTAATCTCTATCCCAAGGATGCATGTGTCTCTGCAGAGCCGGGAGACACAGAAGTCTCCAATTTTCCAGAGTCCTGCTCTGGATGGGACAAGCTGGGCTGCTTCAGCCAGCCTTGGTGGACAGACAGTATAAAAAGGGTTATTACCGGGCTGGAGAGACGGCTCAGCGGTTAAGAGCACTGACTGCTCTTGCAGAGGACCCGGGTTCGATTCCCAGCACCGACATGGTGGCTGCGAACCATCCTTAACTCCAGTTCCAGGGGGATCCGAAGCCCTCTTCTGACCTCCACAGCATTGCACAACACGGGTGTACTCACATGCAGGCAATGCACTTACACACAAAATAAAAATAATAAAGTATTGAAAGAAAAAAAGAGTACTGACTGCTCTTACAGAGGACCCAGGTTCGATTTCCAGCACCCACATAGCGGCTACGAACTGTCCTTAACTCCAGTTCCAGGGGAATCTGAAGCCCTCTTCTGACCTCTGCGGCAATGCACAACATGGGTGCACTCACATACATGCGGGCAATACATTCATACACATAAAATAAAATAAAAATTTTTTTAAATTAAAAACAAGGGTTATTTAGCAAGACAGTACAGGGTAAAAGTCCTCAAGACATACATACATTCATCTCTAAAGTAACAAGGATAACACAGCCAGCTATTACCTGCAAACGAGGAAAAGGCGAACAAGGGACCTGGAAAATGGCTCGTCTTCCCTTAAATACGTAGATGGCTGATTAACCCTCAGAGGTTTCCCTACGCCGAAGTCATGGCACCCCGCCCCCGCCTGACCCTTAACCTTCCTGACCCAGTTCACTCAGGGTGGCTTTCTTCCCCACTCTGGTGACTCTGGCTGGAGGGCTGCTCTGGGGAGACTCGGGGGCTGCTTCCAGCGTCCACATTCGACTGCTACCATTCCCTGGGGGAATGAGTCACTTTAATCGCGGCGGGTGAGATCTAATCAGCGCCCAACTCGAAGCCAGAACCTGGTCACAGTCCCTCTGGCCTGGATGCACCGCGTCCGGATTCCCCACCCAAAGAGAAAATCCACGCTGTTTTGGAAAAGACTGGGTTAAAGGCTCCGTGCTCCATTACTAGAAAGACCGAGATGACATCATGCTGGGGAGGGGCGTTTTGGGCCGGAAGCCCCTAGACGGTGCTACAAACCCACAGAAAGCCCCCCCCGCATTCCCATCGCCACCTCTAGACCACAGACATCCCCACGCCCCGCACTCGGCCTCAGCACCCACATGCAATCCCCAGCCTCCTAGCCCCAGCCGTGCATCCACTCCACTCCACAAGGCTTTGCACCCCCAGACCTGCCCGCACCCCTGCTCCCACCCCCACTGCCAGATCTGCAGCCCCCAGCGCCAGCCCCGCTCTCCACCCCGCAATCACATCTGCGCGCAGGGACCCAGCCTGGGCCCCCCGCAGCCCGCAACCACTCACCCCAGTTTTTTTTTCCCTCGCCGCCCCAGCCCCCCCCGCCGCCCCAGCCGGGATCTGCACCCCGCGTCCTAGCCCTAGCGGCAAGGTCTGCACCCTCCAGGCAGCACCCCCACGCCCCGGCCCGCACCTGTGCCCCCCCCGGCCGCGCCCCCGCCCAGGCCCGCCCGCCACTCACAGTTGCGGATGTCAGAGATGAAGACCGCCAGGCCCCGCATCCCGTCCCCCTTGGACACGGCCGGCATCTTGGCGCCCCGGGAGCGGCCTGGGCAGCGGGCGGAGCAGTGCGGACGCGGGCGTCAAGGCGCGGAGCCTGAAGCGCGGAACCGCCTCGCCGCAGCCGCCTCGGGCCCCGAGCGCCGCTCTCTGGCCCGCGCACGCGCGCACGCACGACGCACGTCTGATGAGGGGGGCGGGGCGAGTCGACGTGCGCGTGCTCGCGGTGCCGAGGGGGCGTGGCGCGGGGGGGTGCCGGAGAGGACGGACCGTGAAGGTGCTGTCGGGGCCGCGGGTTCGCGTCCGGACTGCCCCTGGCGAGGGCATGGGGCGGGCGGCGAGATGCCCCGCCTCCTGTTATCGCCGCGTGCAGTGAGCGCGGAGGCCCGGGGCGGATGTCACTGCGAAGGGTGGGTCCGCGCCAGGCGTAGCAGATCCGCCCTAGATCGCACTCCTCGGGCAGACCTGGCTTCCCCAGGACCTGATTAGGTCCACCTGGCTCCACCAGGTCCACCTGGCTTAACCAGGGCTTGGACTAGCCTCGTCCCACATTGAGGGAGGGAAGGACCTCCCTCACCAGGCAACAAGGGTTGGGGGCGGGCTGAAGGCGCCTGCAAGCCTCTGGGCTGGGGCGAAAGGATTTGCTGCTCCTGGTCCCCGTTTCCTTTACAAATGGGAAAACTACAGCCAGAAGAGAGACTGGCCGCCCTTGCCGAGGTGACTGCTGCCTGGAGTCTGCCTCAGTACCCAGTCAGGACCTTTGGCCTCTTGCGTCTGTTCTCCGTTCCCCTTAACTACCAGGTGGAAGCATAGGACCCGCTGAGCAGAGGGTTTGGCTGGGTCTGACACACACACCACCCCACCCACCCCCGGGGACAACGGAGAGCGGATGGTCCTTCCCCAGCGTGATGGTTTTGAGGAGGAATTATTCAGGTCTAGTACCTGGAACTCGCTCAGACCCACCAGCCAGACCTTTGCCCCTACTGGTGCTCACTTCCACAGTCTGGGTGAGAAAGTAGGCCTGGGTGGAGCTTAATCAGGAGGAAAAGACAGGACCCGCCCATCAAGCAGGCACACCCCACTGAGGCCTCAGGACTAGTGGAAGAGACTAAGGGCAGGATAAACTCAATCTCTGGCAAGGCTGCTGAGGTCACCACCTTCTAAGAGGCAAAGAGCCAGCACTGCAGAATAAACGTGCGGCAGCCACCTCCTGGCAGAGGAAGGGGCCAGCAGTGTTTATCCTCCAGCTTCTCCCCCATCAAAAGGATGCTTGTGGGCAGTCATATGAAGTGTGCTGGGCAGGCAGCAGTAGGAACCCAGTGTGGATGCCCCAACCCAGAGAAGGCTGCAGGACATTCTCAGATGCCTATGGGACTGACTCAGACTCCCACAGTCATCCTGTCTATGATAATTAATCCTTTTTTGAGAGTTATTACATTTTTATTTATTGAGGAGGGCACACATGTGGAAGTCAGTGGACAACTTGTAGGAGTCGGTTCTCTCCTTCCATCATGAGGGTCCCCGGGATCAGACTCAGGTCGTCACTCTTGGCAGCAAGTGCCTCGGAAACTAGGAAAGTAACACTGTCACACAAGTGTGCCACAGAAGGCCTGACAGGTGACTGTGGGAAAAGACTCCATCTCCTGCAGCACCTTTGCTCTCCCAGACACACAAGCCCCCAGATCACAGCCTGGAGCCTGAGCACACTGTCCTCTCCAGCTAAAGTCACTCCTCACTGACCCCTTTATAGTGTGCAGTGCTTGGGAACAGTTCCTTTTCTTTCTCCCTTTTTTGTTGTGAGATTGGGGCCGGGGGGCAGTGTTATTTTTGAGACAGGGTATCATTATGTAGCCCTGGCTAGCCCAGAACTCACTGTGTAGACCAGGCTGGCCTCTAACTCACAGAGATCCACCTGCTTCTGCCTCCTAAGTGCCTGAATTAAAGGCATGAGCCACTATGCATGACCTTCTTTGTCTTTGTCGGAATGAGATATTTGTCACATTCTAGGCTCCCAGTCACCGTATTTTCCCCAAGGGTGGAAGCCTTCAGCTGAGGCTCCTGGGTGGTAAGAGCTGTCTCTGCAGGCTCCAGATACCCTTGTTATCATGGAGAGAGTCACAGTCTAGACATATTTTTAGACAAGGCATCCCAGACAGACAGCTCCTAGGGATTGCCTGACCTTGTCTGAGGTCCTGTGCTTACCAAGACCTCCTTACACCTCCTGTCAGTTTTACCAATAGCCCCAATTCTTTCTTATGATTTCTTCAGTGTGTTACACATAATAACCCTTAACAAAAAATAGGGGCTCACAGCCTAGTCCAGGCATTCCTGAGTCCTGAGCATATTCAAGGACAGGGATGTGGAAATCATCAGACCCAAGCTACCCCTGTGTGTAGATGATCCCCTGTGATCCAGGAGTGTCAAGCACCGTGGGAAGGCCAGGTCCTGCCTGGAAAGTGTCCCAAATGATGTACAGACCTGCAGGGGTTCAAGAACTCTAAAGTGCCTTGGAGTGTGGCTCAGAGATAGAACATTTTCTTTGTGTGAGACCCTGCACATAATCCTCAAGATCACAGAAAAATTAATTTAGCTGAGCGTGGTAACTCACACCTCATAATCCAGCTACTTAGGGTGCTAAAGTACGCAGAGTGAAGGTTTAAGACCAGCTGGGCAACTTAATGAGACTCCATCACAATATTTTTGAGACCGAGTCTCATGTAGCCCAGATTGGCTTCAAACTCACAATATAGCTGAGATTGGCCTTCATAATGGTTTTTCAAAGACTGGAAATGTAGCTTAATAGTACAGTGTTTGCCTAGTGTGGAGATGAGGCTGTACCCTGCTCTAAGCTACACTGTATTGTATGGAACAGGGGCTGTCAGGCTGTGCCTTTGCCCTGGGAGACAGTTTTGCAAGCAGCTTTTAGCTCCTTCCGAGAGCAAATGCTGAGGCAGAATGATTCATTTGTAGACAGAGACACCAGCACCTGGTCACCACCATGAGGCACAGACTCATAAATAACATTCTTAACAGTTAAAGGATGTCACCCATGAACTTATCAAAGTAAATCAGGAACATATGGGCACATTAAAATCATCTCAGATGGGGCCAGGTGTGGTGGCACACAACTTTAATCCCAGCACTCAGGAGGCAGAGGCAGACTGATCTCTGTCAGGCCAGCCTGGTCTACATAGTGAATTCCAGGCCAGCTGGGGTTACAAGGTCAGGCTGTATCAAAAAGACAAAAAAAAAAAAAAATACCCAAACCATCTCAGACGGCTCTATGGTTAACAGCACTGGCTACTCTCAAAGAGGACCTGGGTTGGGTTCCTAGCACCTACCTGGCAGCTCACAATCACCTGTAACTCCAGCTTTGGAGGATCTGATACCCTCTTATGGCCTCTACAGGCACCAGGCATGCACATGGTGTACATATATACATGCAGGTAAACAGGTAAACTCTCATATACATAAAAAATAAAAATAGGGGCTGGAGAGATAACTCAGTGGTTAAGAACACTGGTTGTTCTTGCAAAAGACCCGGGTTCGAATCCCAGCACCCACATGGCAGCTAACAACTGTCTGTAACTCCAGTTCCAGGGGATCCGACAGCCTCTTCTGACCTCCGCAGGCATTGCACGACATGCGTGCACTTACCTACATGCAGGCAATACATGCATACACATAAAATAAAAATAAGTATTTTTTAAAAATAAATAAAATAAATAAATTAAAATAAATCTTAAAAGTTGGGGGGTGGGGGCTGGAAAGGTAACCGAGCAGTTAAGAGCACGTTCTGTTTGTTTGTCCAGAGGACCAGAGTTTGGTTCCCAGCACCCACTTCAGGATGCTCACAGCCTTCTATACATCTAGCTGCAGAAGATCCAACAGTTTCTTCTGTCCTCTGTGGCCACCCACACACATGCACATATAGACAGGCACACAAACAAAAAAATAAAATGCCTTTAGTCCCAGTACTTGGAATGCAGAGGCAAGCAGATCTCTGAGAGTTCACGGCCAGCCTGGTCTGTATAGTGAGTTCCAGGCCAGTTGGGGCTACAGGGAGACCCTATCTCAAATGGCATAAATAAATAAATAAATAAATAAATAAAAATCTTTTTTTAAATCTCAGAAAATCCAGTCCTATGAATGCAATTAATACCCCAGATCAACAAAAGATGCAACCTCCCATCTGGATTACTTAAAAGAAGAGACATCTGGGACTGGAGAGATGGCTCAGCAATTAAGAGCACTGGCTGCTCCTGCAGAGGACCTGGGTTCAATTCCCAGCACCCACATGGCAGCTAACAACTGTCTGTAATTCCAGTTCCAGGGGATCCGACACCTTCTTCTGACTTGAGCAAATATTGCACGGTACAAATGCACTTACACACATGCAGGCAATACACTCATACATATTTAAAAAAATAAATAAGATCTTTTTTAACGTTTTGGTTGTTAGCCTTTAACAGCTGCGCTAGCCTTCCAGCCCAATATTTTTTAGAAAGAAGAAACTCTGGGGCTGGAGAAATGGCTCTGACTGCTCTTGTAGAGGACCTGAGTTCGATTCCCAGCACCAACATGGCGGCTATGAACTGTCCTTAACTGTATCTTACAGCTCCAAAGCTTTGCTCAGAGAGGTTACCTTAGGAGTGGCCAGGAAGGTTTAAGCATTGAAATCTGTGCGTTCCCTTCTGTGCACTAAATCTAGGAATTTCTGGCATCTTAACTGTGTTTTGACACCACTGATAAACAGGTATGGTGGGCTGCCTGAGTCAGACATATGTGTCTTTCCACAATTTTAGAATTTATTTAATAACAATAAATTCACAAATTATGTCAGGTTTTCTGCCTGTAATTTACATCTAGACCCAGTTTCTCTTGATTATGTGGCCATTGGCAATCACAGTTATTTTTGGTATCAATCTTTGATTTTTTTTTTTATTACGATAGGGTCTCACATAGTTCAGGCTGTCCTTCAACTTGCCATGTAGCAGAGATTGATGAACTGCCGGATTCTCCTGCCTCTACTCCAGTTCTGTGATTACAGGCATGCACTATTATGGCAGGTTTTTTTTTTTTGTCTTTTTGAGACAGGGTCTCCCTGTAGCCCCAGCTGTCCTGGAACTCACTATGTAGACCAGGCTGGCCTTGAACTCACAGAGATCCACCTGTCTC